CTGGTCCTGTGTTTGTTTCACTCTTTGAACTCCTTTTCATGTTTTAATTTAAATAATTTCTGATGAACTAATAGATTCCAAATATTTTCCTTGTTTGTTCTGAGCCTTCTAACATGCTCATCAAAGGCATACAGTCTCTGCTTCTTACCTGGTTCTATCATTTTCCTTCAGTTTTACTTACAGTTTCTACCTCAATGGCAGACTTCAACTCTTTTCAAGAGCATTTTTCATTCTGTTGCTATCTTTTGTTTATTTCTGAATAACAAACTGCCACAAGCCTAGGTTCATGAAGCGGGTTCCACTTGTCATCTCAGTTTATTAGGCCATTCTGGGTACAGCAAGACTGGCTTCCCTATTCAGGACCTCATAATGCTGAAAGTTGGAGTCTTATTTTATTTTGATATGTGTTATTGATAGATGTCAGTCCATGTACCCGTAGGGCTCAGGTCACCAGATTGCTTGCTGGATGTCAACTGAGGCCATGCAGACTTCCAGAGGCTCAGATAATTCCTCCATGCACAATGCCCCATGGAATATTTTCACACGTTAGCAGGTTCTTCGCTAGTCTAGCAGAAGACTCTCTTCTACTTGAAATTGCTCATTTTTCTTATGAAGGATTAGCCTGGGTTTATACAATATATTTCCTTTTGTTTAATGCTACTGATTACTATGTTTGCTATATAGCATAACCTAATTATTATAGCAAAGTATACATAGTTCTCCACTTACTGAAGAAGTACTAATTGTATAGGATTTTTTATATCAAAGGACAAGAGTCCATCCTAAAGTTCTTTTCCACTACAGCCTTTAACACCAATAATCAACCTCAATGTTCTGGCAGCCAATCTGAACATTTGAGGCACCTGTGAATCCAATTTTGCTAACCTTTTCTCTTGAATAAGGAACTGTTGGGGGCCTGGGCCTAGCTCAGTCCTTTAAGTGGCTGCTTCCACAAAGCTCTCAGCCTCAGGTGGCTGGAGTTTGAACCTCACAACTCTCCCGTTGGCCAAATGTGCCCTGAAGGCATGAGAGGAACAAAAAAAAATCCTTAAGGAACTGTTTTCCCATGATATTTGTGTGATTATGTGGACATTATGTATAGGGTGGTAGAAATAATAAAGTAGTCTTTATGCCTGAACACAATACACTTCTTTTGCTAGGTCATTATCCTATAGATTTGAATCAATCTTGTCAGGTATTGAGCTAGTTTGGAGTTTTGTTGTTCCTATTGTTACTGGAACAGCATCATTGCTTTGAATTTCATTAGTTTGTCTTGGGATTCAGGTGGGTCCTGTGTTGGAAGTGTTTCTCCACATTCTTGTCCCACTCTGCACCTCCACTAAGAGCTTGCATCTCAGTGCTTTCCCTTAAACTCTCATATCCTCATCAGTGCTTTGCTGCTGTTGGTTTTTCATTGTCTGCCAGCCTGGTTATAGGTTGCAGGGCAGCCTCTGTTATGCTTTCTGTTTACCATTGTAGGGAATGCCTGGCCATGGGATGCTATGTGAGCAGCCCTCAGTATCTATTTTCCTTCCCTGCTCAGCAGTGGGCTCAGGTCAGCTGTCAACCCTCCCTTGAGACTCAAAGGATTCTCTTTACCTTCTCATCAGTCCTACAGGTCTTCATTTTACTTCTAGGAATTAAAATGATGCTTTCTGCAGTGGCCTCAGGAGCAGAGAGGTTTTGCTCCTAGGGGGCAAGGGTCTAGTAGATTTTATGAGTTATTGCAAAGGGGCAGCTGTTTCTACTGCTGTGGGAGAGTATCTCTAGTCACCTTTCCTGCTCTCCCTCATTCTGGTAAGTACTCCCAGAGTGGTCATGGAACAGAGTCTGCGCATGGGTACACTTGTGTCGCTGGTGGGACTCTGAATTCTCATTCTATGCTCCACCTGGCCTTTAGCATTTCCTTGTGGGTATTTGGTGAATTTGTCTTACTTGGTTTAACAACACTCAGCCTCTTTTTGTTCATAGTTTTCATGGGTGACAGACCCTGCATTAAATTCCCTTAAGAGAACCTTTCTTTAGTACATAGCTTAACCTGTAAGCCTGGTTACATTTGTTCTCTGATGGTTTCAAGAGAAATTATGGCTTGGTAAACTCTCTGACTTTCTTTTTGTCAGAGTAGAAGCAATATTTTTTTCAAGACTGTACTTTATATGCAGAAAAACAACCCTTCCCAAGTCTCTAAATCCATGTCTAGAAATGGGAAATCTTCCTCATGATTTTTGTCTGCTGTATAGGAATGGTGTAGAGTGAATGCTTGGATCTCGTGGTCACCTCTCTTTGATCCAGTTTTGGCTGTCTTGTGATCGTCTCTTTATACTAATTCTACTGCTGAGTCTAATTCAAGATCCAAATTCAATCCTGGTCTTCCCATCTACAAAGTAAACAGAAGTATAAACTTATGGCTGAACTTTTAATAATCATCTGCATTCTACATTGCAGTCATGTAGTACATTATATCACAAAGAATTAAAAATAAGTTAGTTTTAAAACCTTTCAGACTTACCATCATATCATTTTTACTGGTCCTTTAAAGGGCCTTCCAGGGCCAATATTCATATTATTTCATTAGAAACTCTCAATTTTTAATTTCATTATGTCTTTTTTATCTCAGAAATCAAAGGTATCTCTATGAGCATCTCAATATGTCAAAAAAAGAATCCAAGCATTAAGGAGATAAAGTATAACTTTTATTTCAGAGGATATCTTTTCACTAAAGCAGAATGTATCTTAGGATGACAAATATTCTTTCCATTTACACTTGGATTCACAGGCACTAGTGCAGATTTTGAGGCTACCGCTTGACTAAATGTCCTGGTTTAAAAGAATCTAGTTCTTGTGGCTATGGAGTGACCTTTTGGAGGTATTGTAAAGACACATGACATTCAATATATTTGCATTCTTCAGGTTAAGCAGAAAATTACAGAAGTTTATTGTAAGTGGAATTATATCACTAAGAATTTTTTTGATAAGGACTTTTATTCTCTGGAGATGTTGTACGAGAGACTTTTCCAGTTCTGTTCGTAATTCAGTGTTCATTAATCATTCACTCTTGTTCAACGGGTACCTTGAGCAAGCTGTTAAAACACACAATAGATATATGGCATATCCCATTGTCTCAAAATTTTCATGGCCATTGCTAAGCTTTGTCTTCTCTTGTCCCAGTGCCAAAGTATCTATCAGCGAAGTCTTTATTAAGCAGTTTTAAAGAGGGGTGGAAAGTTTATAGGCAGCAAACCATTTCTCCGTGGTTTGAGTAATTCCCAGTAATGTTTCTCAAACAGAAAAAGCAGTATATATAACCTGTCTTGAAACTGTTTCATTGTTATTTTATATTTTCTCTCATTAAAATGAAAAAATAGGTAATATAGCAACCATTGTTAATTAGCTATCACTGTTTTGAAAATTTGTAACATATGTATTGTTGTATGTTACCCTGTTTCTGTCATTATTTTCTATTTGTTTTGCTTCTGTTCTCACCTTCAAATTAAAATAAAATAAAATGGAAACAATGAAGAATAAAAAAAATCAATCATGAAAATCAAAACAGCAAAGCCAAGTTTTTAAATATTGATACTATGTTTCTTACTTTGTACAGCGACAACTCCTGGCCTAAATTGGAGGGGACCATGTGCCATGGTCCTCAACCATGTGCCGCTTTTATTAAATTCATTTTGAGAAATTTTGTAGCCTCAGAGCTTTAATACACTTTCTTCTAGATAACTCCTGAGATCAGAGCTTGAAAAGCATATAGTCATTCAAGGAGAAATAAGGTTTTCAGTCAATTTCTTTGTTGCTCATGGAAAAACGTGCAGCATTCTGTACGATACACCCTGTATTTCATTGTGAGACACATTTGTAAAATAAACACTCACACTCTTTGCTCACATGTGTCCTATGTTAAAATTACAATTCTCTTTTGAAATGAAAAATAATATAATAATGGTAAAGGTTCCATCAAGCAGCTTGAGTTGGCTAAAAGTATTTCTTCTTTGAACAGATTTATAGCACGTTGAATATTTATGTGACATTGGTGGGGGTTGAAGTGTGGACAAATGGAGACAAGATAGCACAAGTTGCAAATGCAGAGACCACCTTATTGCGCTTTTCAAATTGGCAAGAGACAGTCCTCAAAAAAAGGAAGAATTTTGATCATGCTGTCTTACTGAGGTATGTGACTACTATCCTGCACACCTTTGTGGGTTATTAAAACAGATGACAGAAGAAATGAACCACAGAAACAACTTCTGGTGTTTAACTTCTGGTTGGGACACAAAGTAAAATGTTACTTCTAGTTGTACAAAGAATTTCCACATGGATAATTTACTAATCTTCCTTTCCAAAACTGGGTAAGAACAGATAGGAAAAATATCATATACTCATTCCTGCTCAGAGTTGAAAATGTAATTAGGTAAGTTGTTTGAGAGTCCACGTATGTGACGTAGCACCCGATGCCAACTTCCCTCATGCCCCTATGCTGTGCCACTCCAGTTGTCTATCACAACATGCTTTGCCGGGAAAAACTTCATTCTCTAGACTTTTTCTCTCATTGGAGTTTACACAGCCGGTCACCAGTCCCCACAGGGCTTCTTTCCTGTACATGAAGAAGACAACTAATCTGATAAATTAAACCTGCCACAACTTTTAGATTCCTGAAGAAAAGCTTGGAGTTGTCTGTTCAATCATTAACTGCATCTAAATTGGGTCCATTTATACAATTTCTAAAATATGTATTCGTTAATTTTAGTTGAAATGCATGACTTAAGTCTTAAAGACCTGGGAATAAGAAAATGTACAGATAAATCTTTGAATCCTGAGGAGACTGGAATATACTAGGTTTTTAAAGGGCTAAATTGCTCTTTTGTTCTGTCTCATAGTGTTGGCATGATTCTCCCCAAGCGTGGAAGGGCAGGCTGTGAATGGAGGGTCCTTTAGAGTGGGACAGGGTCCCTATGATTTTATTACTTGCTGTTAATGTCCTCACTTCCTGAATAATTAGGGGTCACAGAGTCACCTCAGCAATGCAAATACTAACAGTATTGATTGGGATGACAGTCACTGGTTCTCAGTTGTGCTGCTCATACACACCCCAGGTCCTTTAAATTCCATTTGCGTTGCACACCTTAGGCCATTCAGACTCTTCTGAGAAGTAAACGTGGCTTCTCTTACAAACCACCAATGACACAGTCCTTGTTTTATGCCATCATTTACTTGTTTTAATGTCACCCTAAGGCCATAGCTATATTTTATAATTTATTACACCTGAATTATTATTTTTTGGGGGTAGGACAGTTTCAATAATTAACACATTGCATACATTTTTCCTAGTGATTAATTGCTGTACAAGATACGGACATGATATCCTATTTACAAACACTATTAGAACAAATCCCTCTATTCATTAAGAACTATATATCTAACCTAACCA